CGAAGTCGCAGGAGTGGCTGCCTGTTTCGAAAGCGAACTCGCAGCGACTCATGGAAAACAACGCCTTCATCGTCATCCGCACGAAGGGCAAGTACAGCCGATTCCGCAAGGTCGTGGAGGACGAGGCTTCGGACCTGACCCTGTGGCAGAACTCGGGAATGGAGAAGCTTCTCTTGCGCCAAGTCAAGGACAACTTCATGTGGTGCGTCCACGCCGACCACAACCCTGAGGAGGGTCTGGTGAGGCTGCATGGAATTGTATGCTATTTACCTTTGTATATTGCTTGAATATATGGGAAGGGTCCTGGTTACAAACATGAACTTAAACCCCACAGTGTAGGTTCTCGGCTGTCTCGTGCTCCTCTGCTCGCCTGATGACGACCGTGGACTTTTGCGATCAAAAGAACATCAGCATCCGTGACTTGGAGGCATCCTTTAAGGAGAGAGCTGCGGAGGCAGACCTCATCACACGCCAGCAGCAAGTGATCCTGGTCAGTTCCGTGACGGGGGGGCTTTTGAGCCAAGTTTTGACGTTTGTGTGGGGACCAAGGGCACACGCCGCACTAAAGCCGCGGAAGCGTGTCCTCAGGAAAACGGCTGCCAACACGGTCGCACTTCAGAAGCTGTTTGAACCCGTGAACTTTTAGCGAGAGAGGTGCAGTCATGGACACAACCTGATTTGCAGACCCTCGTCGCATCTGCAGTTTTGATTTCAATGAGCCTCGATTGTCAGCTGCTTGCAAGGACCACAAAAAATCTCATTACGTGCATGCGACTGTGCTGGCAGAGAAGCCTCGCCAAGCACACTGAGCAGGGGTCTCAACCTCGCTCAGCAAATGTATATGTTGCGGATCGCAGCATTCCGCGGCCTAAAAGCAGGGCTCTTGCGTTCCAAAGCCATGGCTGCAGTGCAATGGGAGTTTTGCCGTGGTGTCCGGCCGACCGGAGACGGCGTCTCCCTGGTGGAGCAGGCGTGGCAACCGGTCACGAACTACGAAATGATCCTTGGCCTTGACAGCGGGCGGGAAGATGATGGGTTTTGGTATGAAGGGCAAGCGTGGCATTGTGTCACTGCAGACAACTTTGAGATGCGGCTCTACCAGTCCCTCACGAACCCGGGCAACAACATCATCGTCCGGCCCAGGCGTCGCTACAACATCATCCTGGAAGTGTACGCCTCCATCATCCGAGGAACAACATGGGTAAGGTTGGGCTTTCAGCATGGCAGCCCTGTGCAGACGCATAGACATAGAGAGATGCCTCTGCAATTCTGATTGATGGGAAGCACGTAGTTTCGTAATTCCTCTTCGTTGCTTGACTATATATATACAGTTTCACATACATACATAAACACATGGCACACTGTGTATATATATATATATATATATGTATATATATACATATACACACATACATATACGTGTATAGAACATGCTGAAATAAGATTATATAGAACATATTTATATGTATACGTATATATATTTACATATATTATGTAGTCTCGCTTCCACACCCTGATAAACCCATGCAGGTTTCAGGCGAGATACAAGGCGACAAACAATGTGGCTGCAGACATACGGATCCATGGGGTGGACGGCATCTCCTTTTACGAGTTGCAGTGGTACCTCCGTGACAGCATCAAGCCTCCTGAAGATGCGGCCTTGCAGATCATGAGCACAGCGCACGATGAGAGGGTTATGTCTGTGTTTGACTGTATGCTGTATGTTCGAGGGTCATCACAGCCAAATTACAAGCCACGTTATCGCATCCTTGAGAAGACGGAGCCAGGAGAGTGCCGCCTCAGGGAGTTTTTCCTACCGGTCACGGACTAGATCGGCAACAGATGATAAATCACAAATGTATCCGTAGATCTTATACTGCCGTAAACAGGTGTATATAGTATATATACGGTTCGTGACAAAGGTCCGTGTTCTTACATAGCAATCAACATCCTTTCAACCCTTTCTAAATGTTTTCTCTGTATGGGTTTCTGCTCGGTGACCAAAGTCTTTTGAACGAAATCTGTACATATACACTTTAGAGGTGGTGCAGAACCTCTGCGACTTGCAGCTTCAGCCAAAAAATCAGATGAGATACATGTTTTACAAGCTTGCAGCCTGCATGGATGTGACTGCATTGCACGTGTTGCTTCCTGTAGACTGAAGCCTTGTGTCCTGAAAGCTGCCTGCAGGGACATTATATAGCATGCCTGAGCATGGATGTGGCGGGCCGGTTCCGATACTTGGGTATGTCTATATACGGGGGAGGTAACAAGAGACAAGGAGTAAAGCGGCGGTGCCATGGAAGATGGAGACAGGGAGTGCGCGTAAGTGTTGTGCGGGGAGATGACAGCTATATAGCGGACATGCCAGTATATATATAGCTGTCGTATCAAGCGTGCAGCTCAAGCATGTGCACATGTCGCATTTGTATACATATAAAAGACAGACCGACGGGGGGTTCTTTGGGGAGTTCGCTCGGAATGTTCATGGATGCGATGCATGCAGTCTGTGCTGGCAGAAGATGTTCGCCTTGCACGCTGAGCAGGGGTGTATATGTGCAACCTCGCTCAAGCAATGTCAGGGTACTTTAACTCACTCACGAGTATCATGGCACAGCTGTGGGAATTCATTGAGAACCCACAGCCATCAGGCGACGGCGTGTCGCTCATTCCCCAGGATTGGGCACCCGTGGAAAACGTCTTGCGGCCCACGGAGATTGTCTTGCTGTTGGCAGGTTTGCAGACCCGCGGGAACATCATCTTTCGACGCGCTGTCTGGCGACTGATCAGTGCCAACCGACAGGATATGCTTGTCTACCAATCGTACATGGCTCCCTTTCCGAAGCTGGTGTTCCGGCCGCGAACAGAACGGAGCATCCTGCTCAAGGCCTATGCCTCCCTGACTCCGACAACGGTGAGGTGGCACCCATGGCATTGCAAGTTGATGTGTCATATATATTGTGTATACATATAGGGCTTGCATGCCTCAAATTGATTTACGTTTCGAGCTTATATATAGAGTTCTGTGTTATGTATTTGGGTTTCAGAGCGGGTCTGTATGTAGTCTTGTATATCTATTTATAGAAATATATCTATACGTCTGCCTGCTAAGCGGCACTTCACAAGAGGTTTCAGATGAAGTACGCGACCACCGACAACGTGGCTCTCGATCTGGAACTTCCAGTGCATGGGGGAATTTCAATGTACGACTTGCTCTCTGCCGTTCAGGATGGATTAACGCCGCCTCCGGGCGTAGGTGTTCAGCTCCTCAGTACAGCCCATGTTCAGAGGCCGCTCACAATTTTCGACTGCATGGTTTTTATGGATGAATGCCCCCCTGCCTATGTCCCAAAATACCGGACTCGGCAGAAACGGACTGCAGGCGAGTGCCGGCTCCGGGAGTTTTTTCTCCCCGTGCAGTGAGCAGTATTTATGCTGTATATATGTATATGTAACTATATATATATATATATTTATGTGTGTCTACGTAATATGTATTTTTATGTTTCTATGTAGGTATATATACATATATATGTGAATTCTGAGTATGTATGCAGTTACGTGAGCAAGTATATACATATATATTTATATATACATACACCTTCAAGTCTGCTGCAACACGACGGGCCGGACACCGCATCGCAGTCCTATATCTGTGATAAATAAACGCAGACCATGCAAACTGTCTCCCTCCTATATAAAGTCTTCTCTGAAGAGGCAGCCACTGCAGTTCTTGACAAAACGAAGATGCAGCGTGCTTCTGTGTGCATTTACACGTCATGCAGGCCGCGGCCGCAGGACCAGCAAGCAGGGTTGACGAGCTCGCTTGCACATGCTTTTGTACAGTGTGATCAGTTCTCAAGTTGTGCTTCTACGCTTTCGAACGCCTCGCAGAGCCATGGCAGGGACTTTCCAGGAGCTCGAGGCTAAGATCCTGGCAGTGGGCGAGTTTTTGATGCAGCAGCAGACCGATTTGGTTGAGAAATCCTTCAAATCCGTCAAAGCCACACAACTCAAGCAAGTTTTGGAGGACATCTCTGGCTTCGTCACCCTGACCGCGGAGCAAGCGACGAGAATCGGCACCATCCTTCGCCGAGGGCCATGGGAGCAAGAGGATCGAGCAATCGCTGCCGCATGCCTGTCAAATGTTCTTGCCAACACCGGTCGCAAGGGAGGTGCCGTGGTAAGGCGGGCCAACCAAGACCTCTTGAGCTTCCACAAGTTCTTGAGCAAGAACGATGCATGCGTGCTGGCCGACCCGTCGGCCAGCATGCACACAAAGGCAGATGTCGTCGCAAGCCGGATGGTCAAAATTCAGTTGTGGCTGGCGAGTGAACAAGCCTATAGCGAGGTGATCAAGACGGTTCAGGCGGCCGGCGCCGAGATGTCCACTGCCCAGGACCAGTATGCCTTCTTACAGTTGCTGAAGAAGATGGTCCGGAGTCGGGTCAAGAAGTTGCCCAAGAACATCGAATTGCCGAACCCATTCCCTGACAAACCAGAGGACAGGTATATAGCTACATATATAAGAGATTGTACTTACATTGGGTTGTGTTGCTGTTCGGAAAGATATATCAGAGAAGCTAATATAAGGCTATATACATGCACGTACTCTATATAGCTACAAAGATCGAGGCTCTGTAGAAGCAATCCATGTGGGTATATATCTAAACATATAGACTATTTTGGAATGAAGTCTTACATATTTTGGTCTATATATAAGCCCTTGAATCTGGATTTCCCGTGCAACATGCAGGACCTGCCAGACCACGTGCGTGCGGAAGCCTATAACCCGGAGGATCCGGCGGTTACCATCGAGGGCTCGGTCGCGAAGGGCAGCATCATGCGCAAGAGCAGCTCAGAGCTCAGGCCCCATGACGTCCAAGTGGCCCTTCCGAGTAAGAAGCCGCGCACGAGCTACTCCTCGAACCAGCCAAGCCAACAAGAAATGCTGGCCGGAATGGCTTCCCAATTCGCATCTTTCATGACAAACTACATGAATGGCAACCCAGTGGCTCGAACGCTGCCGCAGATTTGCCGGGGTTCCGGATCTTGCAGCCGCCCAAGGGGCAAGGCAAGCAAAGTCCTGCTGCGGCTACGGATTTGCAGCATGGCGCTCATGGGCAGGCGCGGCGTCACAGGAGTCGTCACCCCCGCCGCAGCCGCAGCAGTCGCTTGCGACGCAGCGGCCCGAGCTGCAGTCTCCGACGCAGCAGGCCCCATCACAAGTGCAAGTGACGGATGCGAACAAGGGCTTCACCCAGTTTGAGATGCCGGACACATCGCGGCCAGAGCTCGAGGAACGTGAACCTGATCGTCAGCCGCTCAGTGCGGCAGCTGCTGCTTTGGCAGTCGAGAAGGCCGTGGAGAACCGCAACGAAAAGACGAAGCCCGGCATTCTCAAAAAGCCCGCGGCCGCAGAGACTGCTGCACCGAAAGCCAAGGCGAAGGCCACGGCCAAAGTGAAGGCCAAGTCCACCCCCAAAGCGAAGGCGAAGTCCCAGTCCAAGAAGACGACCATCAACCTTATCAACCAAGGTCCGAACAAGGGCTGGGTCGTGGAGGTACGTGAGCGCCGCGTCGGGAACAGTGCCGGGCAAACCGACACGTACTATCGCTCCCCGCACGGCGGAGTTTACCGCACCAGGGGCGAAGCCCGGAAGCACGGCTTTAAGGAGGCATGAGCAAAGGGGTGCATGCACCTTCGTGTATAATCGTGTTTTCAAGATTGCATTGCTATATATACATATATAGTGAATGTGGTTGGCTTTTCCGTTGTCCTGGTTGCATATATATATATATATATATATATAGCGCTGTATATATTCTTATGCTTTTAACCACATTGGCACCCATGGAGTCCTTTAAATGTGATTGCTAGATAGTGGTTCTTAGATAGTGGTTCTTATACTATTGTTCTTGTGCTATAGTTTTATTAGTACTGTTGTGATTGTCATTGTCATGGTTGTCATGTTGATGATGATATAGTGCTATCATATTGCTACATATGGCATGTTCTTGTCATCTTTATTGATGTTGTCATTGGTATCCTTATTCTTATCTTGTTATTGTTAGTTTTATTGGTTGCTAAAAGCACCTGCTCATGTCTCTATACCAAAACGTGCTCTCGCATCGAAGCTGCCTGCATGGGCTTTTTGCCCTTTGTACATGGCTCCTTGCTCATCTGCATGTCGCTGGCTCTCACGCTCATGGAGCCCATGCGTTGCTTGGGTATGTGTATACGGCCGTATTATGTCTTGCATGTTGTATATGTATAAATGTATATACAGATGTATATGTACATATACACAGACGCATCCTATATATAGGACAGTTGTTGCATGGTTTTGCAGAGCCGATGCGATTGTAGACGTGATCTCGCGACCCAACCAGAACCTTGCAAAAAATGGGCGCCTGCACCGCCTGCACCAGTTGCATGCGACAGTTTCGGCGAGTGCTGCATGCATATGTTGCCCGTTGCAGCAGTGAACTGGACATGCAACGCTGACATCCGCAACATGCTCTGATGTGGGGCTCATGGCACAGTGTACTTTAGCAATCCTGCTGCAATCTCCGGTATGAAGTTTAAACATAAAGATCTGCTTGTAGATAGACGCCCTGCAGAGGGTTTATACAATATGACTATATTATATATTTGGCTTGGCAATTGGGTCTATATATTTCCAGTGTATATATATATATATATGCATTTATAAGGACATCACAGACAAAGACTGTGTTATAGCTCGTTCGGTCTGCATGAAACAGCATAGCTTGTGTACTTCTTTCTTTCCGTCCAGAGAGGGTGGCAGGTTGCAGACCGCCAACCCGACGTTGCAGAGATCACTCGCAGCCCGGTTTATGGAAGATGGCAGCCAGCAGAATCCTGGATGCCCATCGCAAATCCTTTGTGTCTCAGCGAGCGCTTGCTGAGATATTAGAGCTTCTGCCAAAAGAGGAGGACCAACCCGCAACATCCAGGGCCACTTTGAAACGGAAGCGAGACGAGAAGATGAACCTCGCCACCCCTTACGGCCCGTTGTGGAAGGAACTCTCAGGTTTCACCATGACTCAGGGGCCGCCACTCAAGGTGAGCTACATCGACCCACTGGCCGTGCTTTGGCACGCCTGCAATCAAGGGGGTGGCTTCCAGGAGTTCCTGCAGAACTGCGCCGCGAGAAACCCCTGCAGTCCAGCGAATCCTTGGGATATATGCCTTTATGTCGACGAAGTGTCACCGGGGAATCAACTAAAGCCATCAAATGACCGCAAACTCCAGGTGCTGTATTTTTCCCTGAAACAGTTCGGGGGCCTGGCCCTGAGCAAAGAAGACTCCTGGTTCGTTCTGACTGCAGTGCGTTCCACGGATGTCAAGCGGCTCAGCAACGGCATGACGCAGCTCATGAAGAGGTACGCGTATTGCAGGGATGGATTTGTGTTTTTGTTTGTAAAGAACATGCATCCCGTAGATATCTGTGTGTATATCGAAAATATATATTATACGGAGGAGCATGAAAACACATGCTCAGAGACATATGTAAAGGTATATATATGTATAGACAGAATATCATGGCCACAGCTATCAGGATCTTTGCCATCTTCCTCTTGGACCGGCGAGATCAGCTGCTGCACGGCGTACGTCTGCCCATTCCCAATCAACAGTACTGGATGCTTTGTTGCCGCATGGGCGGCTTGGAAATGGATAACATAATAGTATGTACGCCAAGCTGGAAACATTCAACACAAGGATGTATGTATATGTCTGAATATGTGTATATACATATGTATGTACTGTATACCGTATGTACGTTTCTGATTTTCCGTCATGGAACCGGGGTTTGCGTGGAATGTACAATATGTATGCGGAGGCCTCTTGATCGCGGACGAGGCAGCACTGAAAAGTGTTTGGGAAGACAAAGGAGCAAGCGGCACGAAGCTCTGCTTCATGTGCCAAAACGTTGTGTCCCATTCATCAGGCCTGCACAACACGGACGCAACAGGCAGTCTGGTGAGCCACGTCAGCCACCAGAAGAGCCAAATGGTGCAGCAGACGGACGCCAGTATAAAGGAAGCTGCGCAACACCTCGCCCAGTGCCGCCCCTTGATGAACAAGGGCGAGTTTAAAAAGCGGCAATTCGCCCTGGGGTTGAACTTCTGCGAGCATGGGGCGCTCTTTTCTCCTGAGCTGAAGGAGATTTTGAGGCCTATCTCCGTGAGCATGTTTGACTACATGCACAACTATGTTGTGGGTGGAGTCTTTCATGTGGAGATGTCACAGCTCCTGGAGGCTTTGCAGAAGCAGGGCATACAGCAAGACGAGATGCCACTGGACAATTGCTTCGGAATGTAAGTGATTTCGTGGAGGGTTTGCGGAGGGTTTTTTCATTGCATCCTTCCAATATAAGAGTTACATAATAAGATTCAGAATAAAGATGTGTTTTTGTTTATAGCAGCATATTTTTGCGGTGTTCAGGCACAGCTTCCTGAGTGCTTGTCAATGGCCAGCTGCCGTTGGTGACAAAGGCGCCTCCGCGAAGAAAGTCTTCGCCAAGAAGGTGACCGAGTTCAAGTCCTCGGCGTCGGAGGCCATGGCTTTGTACCCCGTGATGCGGGCCTTCTTGCAGGAGAAGCTGCCAAGCATCCGGGACAACCAGTGCAAGGAATGTTGCCGATGCTTTTTCGTTCTATGCGAAGTCCTTGACCTCCTGTATAAAACGTCGGTACCACTGGATCCTTCGACGCTAGCTGCTGCTCTGGAACAGAAAATCGAAACGCACATGGAGCTGTTCAAGCGCTGCTACGGGGTGGAGAAGGTCATCCCCAAGGCACACTTCAACCTGCACCTGGGAGACTTGCTGCGGCGTCATGGCCTGCTACTCTCCTGCTTTGTGCATGAAAGGAGGCACAAGGAGATTAAGAGGTATGCGAATAACCTCGACTCCATGCAGGCAGGATCCGAAAGGCACATTCTCCAACTGGAATTGGAGGAGCACATGAAGAACCTCCTCGTCTTCTCCGAAATGAAAGCAGGGTTGGTCAACCCCAAGGCTGCCGCCGGCCAGGTGCAACAGGCTTTTTGCGACTACTTCTCCTTGCCAGGCAGTCCTGGACTGCTTGTAAGCATGTCCTGCCACGTCGGGAATGGCAGGCTGTGCAAGCAAGAGGACGTGGTCGTCGTCCATGGGCCCAACGGCGACGAAGTGGCTCAAGTGTGGTTCCATGTCGAGTTCAACGGACACGGCTACACGTGCATGTCCGAGTGGCGTTCTTTGGGCCGAAATCGTTTTCGAACCTGTGACGAGCCTGTGTTCCGATCAACAAATGCTATCTGCAGACTGTGTGCTTTCAAGAAAGAGACTGACCGTGCACTGGTCATACCGCTGAGCATGCCCATGTGAAGATGCTGGCATGGTCTCCATTCTGCAGAGTGCCAATCTCGCAGAATGCTGTGCAGGACATTTTCGCACAGTCAGCAAACATCTCTGTAAGGGATGTTGCGAACCATATACCCTAAACCGCGCGGATCGTCCCAAAAAAGGATCGCAGTCGCCTGCGAAAACTTCGGTCAACACATGAACCTTTTATCTAAAAAACGATCCTCAAACGAATGTACCGCTGAGTCCGCATGCATTATATGCAGTACATAATACATATGGTGTCCTTGATTGAATTTATGATCCTATACAGCTATAGAAGTCTTTGCACCCGCCTCCGAACTGGCAAGCATCGTGCGAACATCGAGCCCTTTGCTGAAGTATTATCTACAGGAAGTGCATGGTTGTAGAGTGCTCGTGTCTGTGCGCGAAACTAAACCCTGTATATCTCCAACTCCCCGAATCACCTAGCATGTCAACTTCCCTGTTTTCGACCCTTTGCCCTGCGACCCCTTGTCGATGCAGGCTGCCGCCTATGTCATGCTCTTTCCGGCCACTGCCGTGCCCATGGACTCTGGGGTTTGGTGCATATATATATATATATATATATATATATATATATTTATTTATTTATTTATAGCTGCTTATGTAGCACAAAGATATATCTAACGGGTGTTTGTATATATATATATATATATATATATATATATAGATCTGTATACAGACATAAAGATAGATAGGTAGATAGGGTTTTCAGTGGAGATGTGTATCTGTATATACACACATATACATATATATATATATATATATATATATTTGAATATATATGCTCGCCATGTGTATGTATGCATGCATGTGTGTATGTGTGTATGTATGTATGTATGTATGTTGATATTGATATTGATATTTATATTTATATTTGTATTTATATTTATATTCATATTTATATTTATATTTATATTTCTTGATTTATCGGGTGTATAATTAAGTGATTGTATATATAGGGTTTTTACGAATGTACAGGGGTGGCATGTAAGGTTGAAGTGTATTGCGCTTCTAGTTGTTGAGTAAATATTGAACTTTTATTTCCTTAGTGTTGACCGCGTGAGAGTCTCAGAAACTTGACTGTTGTTCAGCACATGCGAAAACTTCAAAGCAATGCTACACACTCGGACAGCGTCTTCGTTTTCTCTCGAGAGGGCAAAGGGGTGCAGTAAGTCTCGAGTTTGTTCACACCTTGCTCGCCCTGCCACAAACGGCAGGGTTAGGCAAGACAAAGATGGTACTTCAGCAAAAGGCGAGGGAGGGCGGGCCAAAATTTCATGGGCCAGAGAAAAGCTTCTACCTCCACATCCCTCCCATCTCGAGCAGAGGCCATCGGATGGTCGAGGGATTCTTCTGTTCAAACACAAGGCAAATGACATGTGTTGAAAGCTGAAGCATGAAAATTTGCAAAGAGACCACGCTTGAATTTTTCAAGAGAAAATTCATCAACACACGGAAATAAGAGCATCGTCCCTCCGGGACCGGAACTTTATTTCCTTAGTGTTGACCGCGTGAGAGTCTCAGAAACTTGACTGTTGTTCAGCACATGCGAAAACTTCAAAGCAATGCTACACACTCGGACAGCGTCTTCGTTTTCTCTCGAGAGGGCAAAGGGGTGCAGTAAGTCTCGAGTTTGTTCACACCTTGCTCGCCCTGCCACACCCCATCTGAGAGCGAGCTCGGTAAGCAGATGCATCAAACCGGCCAAGCGCACGGAGCTTGAAGCCTTTGCACTCCTTCCCTCAGTAAATGACCGAAGACACTTCGACTGGGCTCGTCTGCTGGATTAGAGCTGGTTGGCACTCGGCCATACCACGGACGGATCCTTGCTGAGTCCTCCAAGTCGAGAACCGAACTCACTATGGACTGACCAGGAAGAGTCGACGACTTCCCTGATACCAAGGCTCCCTTCGCAGCTTCGTTGTCTAGGTAAACCACTACTAGGCAACGGGTAAGTCGGTTCATCCACAGCTTTAAAGCGGCCCAGATGGCCAGCAACTCAATCTCGTAGATTGGGTGGCTCGAGGTTTCTTTAAGTCTGTTCAGGGCATCAAGCGGAAGGCTGGCTGCAAAGAAAGAAAGAGGTTTACCGAGTGGGTCGTACAAAATGCCGCCCACGCCGGCTACATCTCCCTCAAGGCTTCCGTCAGTGAAGACGTAAAAGGTTTCTTTGATGTCAGGAGTGAGCTGCACAGGTGGCGACTCCAGAGCTCGATCACGCAGGTACGTGAGAGCATCACGAAGGTCACTGCTCAGCTTCCTACCTCTATCCAAACCTTTAGCCCTAAGACCTAAGACTCTCAAGGCTTGGCAAGGCCGGCGGCCGAAAAGGAAAGAGCTGAACCAATGGAGTCTGCCTCGAAGGGCTTCAGCTTCCGACGACTCAAGCAAGCCGGAATCAAGAATACGTGTGAGGGTCTGCCTCAATTCCTGAATGCGCTCTGGCGTGTGCTTGATGTACTCGACTCCATTTCCGAATTCACTCAGATCGATAATCAGGCCAAGGGCCCGACATTGCTTGGAGAACTCGGCGGCTTTCTTCCCTTCCTTTGCGAAAGTTATTCCGAGGATGTCGAGCAGGGCCTCCGCACAAGATTCGGCACAAAGACAATGCTCGTCCAAACTGAAAAGAGGAAAGTCGTCAAAATAATTGCACCAGGAAAGGCCCAGCAGGGCTGAGCCGATGTGCCACGTGGCAGCGGACGTTCTCAGGAATCCTGCCACGGATCCCGTCGTTCCGAAGGGGAGCGCTGCCGCTCCGAAGAATTTGGGTTTCCTCGAGCACGTATCGAGTACAATGATCCTGAAGATTTCCCGATCAGAGGGATCGACAGCGTACTGTTTGTATGCCCATTTTAAATCAATGGTTTTTCCCGACGCCTGTTTCCCTTTGGCCCGTGGGTCCATCATGGCCCAGACAAGGAAGGCTGAGATGAAATCAATACTGTGTAGCCTGAAACGTTCAGGCAACCCAACGGTCTGATTGATCCCGGCTGCCTTCCCGTCGTCTATCACTCTGGTCTTGGCGCCTTGGATGATACCGAACCTTCGGGCAACTAGGACAGACGAAAGGTCCGGAGCTGGGTCTTCAAACAGCCAGCCTTTCTGCTGTTCCTCGAGCGTTTCGGACCAGGCCTTTTCAGCGACAGCATCAACCGGCTGAGAAGAGACCCTGGCCAGCGTAGCGGCATTCCTGGCTGAAGCACATCTAAGCTGTTTGTCAAGGCTGGTCTTAGGGGGGCGAGGTTCGCCAACGAACAACCCAGTTCTAGGCATCCATCCGGTCAGCGGGAAACCCTTCCTAAGGTCGGGGACTAAGGACTTGTCTGGAAAGGACGAGTCGGCAAGCAACCTTTCGAGTAGGAAGGTTTTCTTCCCATCGATGATTTTGCTCACCAAAGGATCCAGTGATTTCCGAGCTTGTTCCTCCACAGGCTCGAGTTCCTTAGCGATTTCGTTCCACTCTGCTAGTCGCGATTTCCCCAGGTCCTCGCGGGCTGCACGTCCGGTCAAAAGGTTATCCACAAGGAGCTTGGTTCGCTCATCGATCTGAGCCTCAAGTATCCTTTTGGGGTGGCCCGCCAACACTGCTTGCTGCACGAAGTCTGACGGAGAGCGGGGAATGCCTATCCAGAATACCTCGCACAAATCTTCAAAGGTCGAGTCACTCATGAATCCACAAACTTTGCAAATGGGCTGGTCCTCTTCCTCGAGAGGGGGAGCATGCGAGTCCATACTCCATTTCCAGTTGGATCCCAAATTAGATTCAAGCAAGGCGAAATCAAGGCTGGGGAGAACGCAAGCCCGTATCTGACCCCAATGCAAAAGCTTGCGACGAACAGCACGAGCGCCTTTAGGGTACGCTTTCAACAAAGCCGGCGGACAGGCAGTGAAGCCCAGCGGCACAGCCCAAGCATCGTAAGCGCCGAACTCACTGACTAAGGCCCGGTGCTTACGGGGTTGTTTCTCATAAGCCAGCCGTGTGACGGAGCTGGCCGGCCCAAACAAAGATGGGGCAGCAGGAATACTGCAGACCTGAGAAGCAACCAACTCAGCGACCCTAGCGCACAAGAGATGTGGATATGCACCTTTGGTTCCTGCATCGAAAGCTGCGTTCCAGGGCGCATGCGAGTGCAGGCGGTTACACGAAAGCCCCAAGGGCTTGAACCATGGAGCCGAGCAAAGCCAGCGAAGCTTGCGATCTCGATCACCGCCATGCATGCACTCGTGAAAATCCACGACCTGATTATCGGCACAGGACAAGAGGTCCTGAATCATCGGCAGAAGCCAAAAGAGAGAGGAGGCGGGAGCTTCCACACTGACTGCAATATTGAACTTCCGACACAGCAGGAACACATCATGACTGAACTCTTCAGCCGGGTGTTGGCCGTGATCTGACACGTGATGCGGAGTAAAGGAAAATGTCAAGCGGCTCATCTCGAAATGGTCATGAGCAGGATCGGCAGCGAAGGTTTGGGCCGAGCATTCGGAAGAATCACGATGCTGCAAAGCCGGCTCTTCGCGCACTTCAGAGCTCAACAAGAGTTGATCTTGGGGCTCACGATATCCAAAGAAGTGTGGCGGGTCATAGCAAGGAGTTTCAGCTCGATCTGAATTCGATTTGTGGCCGGAAGCGCGGACTCTCTTGGGAGAGCGACTTCTGGCTTGAGCATGCACGGTTCTATCGGAGAGGTCACGGGAGGCTAGTCACTCTTTGTCGGCCTTCCCGTCAGCCTTCCCGGATCCTGTTCCTCCGCCTTTCCCGCCTTTGCCTTTGCTATTGGCTTTGTTAAACCAGCAGGCTGACCATCCGTGGCCAACTTTCCGGCATCCCATGCAGGCGTGCACTCCGCGCTTGCATGCTGGCGGGTGTCCTCCATCTGTTGCAGCATTGCAAGTCCCAGTGTTGTGGGTCCAGCAAAGCCGGCGGCCTGACTGATCAGTATAGAACTTGCAGTCTTTGAGCTCTTTGGGCATGT